GTAAGAGAGTTTATTCACTGAGTTCTTAGTTCTCTTAATATATTCTATCTTGAATCAGAACTCACTCAGTCTCTGAGCTCAGTGAATCTGTCACTGTGAGAGTTTCTTAATTGAAGCAAACTGTTATAAGCTATTATAATCAGTTCTAATAGTAATCACTGTTATAAGACTCTTAAAGTAGTGATATCAGTGATAAAAGAATTTCACTATTATAAGAAGCTTCTGATCATGAATATCATAGTTAATCTCTGTAGATTGTATTTTCTGTGAGAAAAAGATCACTGAAACTCAGTTCTTATTTAACTGTAGTTACAAGACTATTTCTGAAATTACAAAGAAGAAGACATCTGTCTTCAATCTGATTAAGAGTAAGAGATTAAAGTGAAACAGTATCACTATATCTGTAAATATCTGTTTCAATCTTACAAAGACTCTGTGAGCTTCTGAGATAATAAAGTTCTCACAGTTCTCTCTTCTTAATAATCTTTTTATTCTCTATTCACAGAATGACTTCTTCTTATTTTCACTCTTCAGTATGTCTGTAAGAGTTAAGAAGATTCTTGTGAATACAAAGATAAATCATCTATAGAAATTCATAAAGCTCAGAAAGATCTGAATCTTATAAATACTAGTTAACTTCAGTTATAATAGAATAGTCTTAACTTATGAAGATTTCATCTGAATATCATCTGTGATGATTATATATTCTAGAAAATTAATTCAGTGAGTACTGAAGTTGCACTTTATAAGCTTAATATACAGTTCTGTCTCATCTAAGATCTTCAACACACTTTGCATATGCTCAGTGTGTTCTTTCTTCTTCATAAAGTATATTATCACATTATTCAGATATATTATTATAAAGACATTCAGATATATATAAAGTGTTTTATTAATGAAAGACTGAAATATTACAGAAGTATTAGTCAGATCAAAAGATATCACTAGATATTTAAACAATTTCAGTGCAGTTCTAAAGACAGTCTTTCATTCATTCTCTAACTGTATTTACAGCTGTGTATATACATTGATCATATTTAGTTATGTGAATATGACAGCTCTTATAAGATGATTAATCACATTCTTAATCAGAGACAGAGAGTAGTAACTCTTTATTATCTTAAAGTTCAGATTATAATAATCTATATATAATCTGAGATCTTTATTCTTCTTCTTTATAAATATCACAGAGGCTTTTACAGAGAACTGTGAAGATTAAATAAAGTCATTCTTCAGATTCTTCTTTATATAGGTTTATAAGATCTCTGTCTCATAGTGAAAGAGCTTATAGATTGATTCTCAGAAGAGTTTCTACTCTTCTATCAAATCTATTATCAGATTCTTCTCATAGTAAGAAGAAAGCTTAGCTATCTTTACTGAGCTGAATATCTCTATAAGATCTTGATATTTCTCTAATATCTGAAGCTCAGTTTTCATAACTGTGAGATTCTTAGACACTTACAAAGCTATTATATAGATGAGCTTGTCTTCTCTAATTAACTCTGCAGTATCAACTGATTCTATCTCTGTGAGTAAGTCTGTCAACACTGATTAAAAGTATAAACCTGACTCACAGACAGCTATATAAAGATTATGTCTTTGAAGTTATACAAGTCTCAAGTACATGTTATCTGTGATATCTATAATAATCACAGTTTCTGTAAATCTTCTTCAGATTTCAGAGAGATCTTGTAATTCAAAGATAACTCTTATAAGTCTCTCAGCTCTCAGATCTGAGTTCTCATACTCTGCTTATTATAAGAGCAGATTCTCAGTCTTTATCTTTCAGCTTATACACTTCATAAGCTTTAGAGACATCACAGTAATCTGAGATTCTGAGTTTATTAATACTTCTTATACTTATGAGAAAGTAGTACTGCAGTACAGTCTCTCTCTATGAGTAAGTATTTTCATTAAAAGAGTAACAGATTCAGATATCAGCTTTAAAACTCTTAAGAAGGCTATTACTGACTCTGTCTATAACTCTTCAAATTTCTATTTTAGTTTATTCAGATAGTTTATGTGAAGATGTTCTGATTTAGAATAGATAAAGCAGAGTCTCTTTTTCTTAATCTCTCTATTATACACTCTATTTACAGAAGCTTATGAAGCTCTCTCTCTCTGCTCAGCAGTCAGATATGAATCTCTCTATATCTTATCATCTTTTTCTAACAAATCTGTTCTCTGTTATTCTGACTCTCACAGAGCTAATCAGTGATCTGCTCTTCACAGATCTGTGACTCTTACAGTGATCTGTAAGCAGTGAATAAGAGTTATCAGTTTCTTCAGAGTTAAGAGCTTAGAGTCTTACTCAATGAGCTTATTCTGTATATCTTTATTCAGTCTCTTTATAAATATTATTATTCAGATCTTATTTCAGAGCTCTATTTTCACAGATCTTAATTCATATTATAATTCTATGAAGTGCTGTGAGTAGTTTTCATCAGATTTCTCATCTCTTTTTCTAATATTAGTAATCACAGCTCAGATGTTCTCTGTTCAGCTTACAGAGTCTTTTAACTTATTCTCTAGATAAGTCTTAAGAACAGATCAGTGAAATCTCTTATAATTATTCTCTAGATAATTTAGTCAGTTCTTGACTTCAGTGTAATAAAGATCTGTCATTATATAGATAACAGCTTCTTCATCTTTCATGTCATACAGCTGAGCTTATAAGTCAATTTCAAATACAAACTTGTAAAAGCTTTTATAGATTGTGATTCAATAAGTGATCTTAAGTGATTGTAACTTAAGAAAGTTTCTTTTCAGTTCATAGATATCTCTGAAGATCATGTTTAAAGACTCAGTTTGAGAGTGTTTATAAACAGTAAGTATTTCTTATAGAAAAATAGCTTTATCTTATAGAAGATGCTCAAGAATATTCTTCACTAAGATTGATTTATTTATGAGTTTAAAGAGTTCTTCTATCATAGATACAGAGAATAATATTCTGTGAGTAGTTAATAAGTTCTCTGAGATGTCTTTTATAGAGATTATTCATAGTTCAGATAACTGCTTCTAAGTGTCTGCAGTAGAGTTTGCAGAGATTGAAGTATGTAAGTTTCTAGTTCTTTCAGTTATAACAGATGATTGCTGACTGACTGAGCTTGAAATGTAAGAATAAGTACTTACAGATAATTATTCAGATGTTTGCAGCTTGACATGATATGTACTGTTAACTACTAGAAGTATTCATAGTAGAAAGATAAAATATAGAGATTAAATATATAATAGCATTCAAGCTGAGTTATAAATAGTATTCATGAACTTCAGTCTATATAGTTGTGTGTAGTCAAGAGCTGCTAGCTCTATTGATTATATAAGAGATAGAAATAGAAGTAAAGAATCTGTAAGAAGCGGGATTTCTTATATAAAATGATATTAATTATAATCTGTGTTTAGAAAAGTAATAATATTTAATAATATTCTCTATTAAATTTTCAACAAATGAGCACTATATTATAATATTATGTAAGTGAGAAATGATTTTATAATCTTATTTAATATCATTTTCAATAATGAGATCAGAATGAAAATATAACTAAGAATTCAAATATATTCATTATCTGAGATTAGATTTTTATTTGAAAAGTGAATCTGAGATCTTTAATATTTGAAATAACAGAATTTGAAATTAATATAATGAATACAAACTATAATCAGAAGTAATACTTTTAGACAATGTAATAACTGTAAAGTTTAATTCTGATCTCAGACACAGTCACATGATCAGTCTATCTACAGAAATATAATATACTGATGAGTCACGTGATCTAGTGAGATCGCTAACCGCAACAGCTGTAAGAGCTTATCTCAGTGAGCTCAGACCTCTGACTCAGTTTGAACAGATTGCAGTATTATTATTAACTAGTTAATCTGATATGACACTAATCTACTTTTAATACAAGTCATGTGCTCAGAGTAATTCTTGTCAGAGAGTCTGAGAAGAAATGATTTCATCTTCAATGAAGATTTTCAAGATTTATAAGAATTTTTCAGATTCTTCAACTTTGACTTTCTATTACTATATACTTACATATCTTTAAGATTTGAAAATCACCTTAGCTTATAGCTAAAGAGAAGAAGAATAGAAATATTTCTTTAATATTTTAAAAAAATCTATATTTAAGATAGATGTATACTCTTGAAAATGATCATATTTTTTAATCTCAGAATTTCTAAGAGCTTTTTTTTATATGAGAAATTAAATTCAAATTCCTGTGTTTAAAAATACACTGATTAACTTTGAGATGATACTTCTATTCTAAGAACTTAAGATATGAATATAAAAATCAGATATGTTGTGAGAATATTATTATTCTAAGGTTTCAAGATAATACAGAAATGATGAATCTATGAAGTTGAGTTGAAATTCTCTTTCATACTCAGAGTACTGAGTAAATTCTTTTCATGTTGCTAATAATCAGAAATCATTTCTTCTCAGACACTTTGCAAGATATCATCACTCACATGACCTGATTTTACTATTTGAGTTAGCTTATTTGAGATTAGCTCATGATATAATCATCAATTCAGTGTTAAAACAGTAATGAATATCTGAAGAAGTATCTGTTGACTCTTACGGCCGTTGCGGTTAGCGATCCCACTAGATCACGTGACCCACCACTATATTATGTTTCTGTAGATAGATCTATCAATACAACCTTCAACTATTCTACAGGTTATAGCCCGGATGGCATGTTTTTCTTTTTAGAATATTGAACCAACATTTTTGACATGAATAGTTCACCTTTTTTGAAAAGACTCTTACTCTTTATTAGAGATATTTCATTTTCTCTGAATCTGCCAGTCAGTGAATTCATATACTTTATTTTTTTTTGAGAAAGTGTGTTCTCCATTGTGGAGAATATCACTTTTTTATTTTTTTTTTACACATCTAGAAGAAGCAGAGTCACCTTGATATAAGTGATACACCTGTTACTTCAGAGTTCAGCTCAAGGCCCAGAATCACACACTTCACTAGATAACTTATTGATAGAATGATCACTTATTATGAGAAAGCTTCTGACTTGCAAGATGAGGCTGAGATCAGTTTTCATCAGAGTATGAAATTTAATGATGATGAGACAATGAAGAAACTTCAGGACAAAGAAAAGCAGAGTCAACATTCATCTGCAGAATCTGTTCATTTCAACTCTTCAAATTCTTCACTGTCTCTCACCTCTGAAATGCTGACTTTTAATAGTGATCTGAATCAATCTATCTATTGCACCGCAGGCAATCTTATGAATCTTATACAGATGATGCTACAGAACCAGATGACTGTGGCTGAAATCACTTAACATCTTACTACACCTGTACAAAGAGACACTACAAGAGATGAGTTATGAAAATACCAGAAGAAAGTCAAATATGCACTAGACATCAAATCAGTGACCACATTTAATGACTCTAATTATGAAGCCTGGCGTGTTAATATGTTGACTGATGTGAAAGTTATTGATGAAATCAACATTCTATTAAGAACCTAATGAGAATTCTCTTTTACATGTCATATCAACTCTGAGAAGTGAAGAATCTGTTCCAAGTCTCTATATAGATGTATACTATTGAGTCTTGTTGAAAATGTTCAAATTACTATTGAAATCTTGAAAGCTGACAATGCTGTGACTCTGTGAGACAAGATCAACATTGAATATGTAATATCACTGACAGAAGAATGAGTTAATGTCTTTAAGAAATTGACAAAATTATAAGTCAAGAAGAATGATTATCTTACTTTTCAGAGACATTTTCACTATTTTGTTGCCTGTCATAAAGAGCTCTGTCAGAGCACTGAGAATGTATACTATGATCTTTTCCTCAACAATCTATAAGATTATCAAAGACTGTTTATCAAGACACATTTGAATGAGTTTTTCTTCACTGATCAGAGACTCATTGTCAACATTGATATTGATGATTTAATGAAGCAACTGATCAATTGTACATTCAAGAAGATCATCACTGAGTGGAAAAAGCAGTCTCAGGCCAATTCTGTGACTGTGAAGAAGGACAAGAACAAAGATAAGAACAAAGATGAGAACAAAAGCACATCTGTATGAAAGTGCACTCACTGCAGAAGATATGAATATACTGTTGACAGGTGTTTCATCTTACACTCTGATAAAAAGAAAAAGAAGGATGATAAGAAGAATGACAAGAAGAAAGAGAAGAAGAATGACTTGATAAGTTCTCAATCAGCAGTGAATGCAGCAATTATAAAGATTGAGTTCTACTTCTTCTTCACAGTCACTGGAAAATCATTCTCTAGATCTTGATATTTGAACACATGTGCAAGCCTGAATATGATGAGTGAGCTTCATTCTTTTTCAAATATCAAACCTTTTAATGATAATATCTCTGTTGATTCTATAACTGAGGGAACTGAATTTGTCAAGAAGATTGAGACTGTCATCTTGAAGATTGAGAATGATGATGTTAACTTGCAGAATGTTCACTATATTTCTAATATTACAGTTAACCTGCTCTCATTTGCAAAGCTTGAAGATCAGGAATTCTGATTTACATTGTCTTTCACTATTCTCTCATTTTTCATTTGCAGAGCTCTGAACAGTGTTATTTTTCATGCAGTTCAGACTGCTCAGAACAACATATATAAGGTCAATGAACAGGAGTTCAATAAGGATCTCAATCATCTGAACAAGGCAGTCAAGTATATTGCAATGCCTCACAAGTATGATTTTGACTGAAAAGTTGATCTTCCTGTGACTGCTGCTACTACTGTTGATAATGTTGATTCTGTGGACACAAAAACACAGACATCAAAGATATCAAAGACTCTTTTGAATTGACATTATGACCTTAGTCACATCCACACTGATGCTATAATTGCTATGGCCAAGGATTCTCATACTGAAGTCACAATTAAAGGTTCTAAGACTAAGTTCTTTTGCAAGGAATGTGTCAAGGCTGATATGATGTGAGATTATTTGAAAACACCGATGCCTAGATCTATTCAACCCATTGAGAAGGTCCATATTGACCTTGCAGGTGGCGGACGTACATTGAAAGACCTCTCTGACCACCTCTTAGAGTCCCGCCAGGGGATCAGATACTGAATGCTTATCACCTGTGATACGACTTGCTACTGTTGAGTGTTCCTTGAGAAAGATAGGCCCGCGGACCCGAATGCCAATCCTGATGATATTCTTAGGAAATCACGTTGAGTGATTTGTGATAACTGGCTTAAGAAGAGTTCTAGAGAAGAGATCTACACTTCTGTCATCACTGATACTGCCAATCATATTCTTTTTGCAATAGCAGTACTACACAGTTGAACACTCTGTCAGATGAATATAGTGATGGCATATCTTCATGAGCATCTCACTAAGAAGATCTATATGAGACAACTTACTGAATTTGAGACAGGTTCACTGAAAACACTTGTCTGTGCAGTTGAGAGTAGTCTATACAGCCTGAACTCTGCAGTGAAGATCTGATATAATTACTTAACAGCTCTGTTGAGTGATCTTGAATTTACAGTCAGTACTCATGATTCAGTACTCTGATATCATACATTCAGATGTCATCTCTATATGACAATCTATATTGACAATCTCAACATCATATTCAAAGCTTCTGAGAATGCTGATTAACTAGTAAGTATACTTAGTAAGAAATTGAAAGTCAAGAATCTACACCAGTCAATCAAGTATTTAGGTATGAAGGTCAATTGTTTAGATAAGAGAATTAATTTAATACATTGTTAATATATCAAATACCTTGTTAAAGATTTCTATCTTGATAATACAGCTGTTATCAGAACACTGATGAAGAATGAATTCTGTATTAATGATTTCTCTATATCTGAGAAAGAGGCTGATTTCACAATTCAGAGATATCAACATGATGTGAGTTGCTTGTAATATCTTGCAGTTAAAATACATTCTGATATCACTCATACTGTCTTACTACTCACTCAATGAAATGTTGATTTAACATCTCAATATTGAAAGACTCTATTATATGTTATATATTATTTAAAAGAGATCATGAATCTGAGCATTTTCTACAGATGCAGTCTGTATGAGAGATCTGTTTCTTCTGTTTCTATCAATCTTTTTATTATTTCTGATTTCTCTGATGATTTCTACCTACTCTTCAGCTACTCAGATTCTGATTGAGCTGATCTCTTAAATAATGATAGAAAATCAATATTCAGCTACATTTTTAAGCTCACAGACAGCTCAATTTCATGACATTCAGTAAAGCAATCTTATATATCTCTAAGTTTCAATAAGACTGAATATATGACTCTTAGTGAGACAGTCTGTAAAGCAACATGAATTCAGAATCTTATAATTAAGCTCAGCTTTATTACTACATCTCTGATACAGATTCTCACTGATAATAAGAGTATCATAGATCTCATAAAGATGACAGTTATTACAGTCTGAAGTAAGCATATTAACACATATTTTCATTTTTTATGTTGATAGTTGAATCAGAGAATTATTGATTTAGAATACATTCTCACTACTCAGATAACAGTAAATGAACTCATTAAATCTCTAGATAATATAGCATTTATATAATTCATGATTTTACTAGATCTTACAGGTACAAAAGTTGAGAATGTTTAATTTTACATTTGTATTTAGTTTTGACAGACTATCTTGATGATTTGGGTGTTTTTTTTTTTGTATGTGATTCTTGTTATCTCAAGGGGGGGTGTTGGCCCTTACGGCCGTTGCGGTTAGCGATCCCACTAGATCACGTGACCCACCACTATATTATGTTCCTGTAGATAGATCTATCAATACAACCTTCAACTATCCTACAGCATCTGAGCTTGCTGAGATAAGTAAGGGCCAACAGAACATATGGGATCACGTGCAGGCTGAGCGATCCCTACGGCAACGCCACTGGAGCCGCTACAGTTAGTTGGTTACACCCCAACAAAAAAACAAACAAAACATGCCAAGAATGGCAAAGAGACAGTTGGCAACGAGTTACATACCCTGCAAACTTAGCGCTGGGATTGAGGCCTCCAGCAGGGGTCCCGTCATTCACTGGAGCCTCATCTCAAATCCACGGCTGGTCTGAAGGATATACAGTAGTCAGCTTAATCCCGATTTTTTGTAAGTCCCCTCCCCTACTCTCTTTTATTTAATATTCATCTATCCATTTTACACAAAGATGAAAATTAATACAGCCCACTAACTTTCCTAATAGTTGATTGTATCATTCTTTTCCCTAACCAAGCAGCCAAATGTCAGGACAGCAGCCTCGAGGTCAGAGAGGGCGGGGCGGAGGGAGGGGAGTGGGGGGAGACCCCGGGGGTCAGCGAGGTGGACAACGTGGACGCGGCTCTGACCGTGGCCGAGGTCCACATCCTATCTTCGATGCGCCATCGGGCGGACGAGGGCGTGGTGACCGTGGCGGGTTTAGGGGAGATCGGGGCGGCCGTGGTGATCGTGGTGGGTTTCGCGGAGGACGAGGAGGCGGAACTCGTGGGCCAGAGGTGTATTCGTAAGTGACAATCATCCGCATGCATCATAATCCCTTTCGAATATTTTAAAAAAAATGATCCCGCTTACCGTTCCTCCACCCGTCACAGCCAAGCTAGCGGGGGTATTCCTGCTCCGGATCCCAAGGTCAAAAAGGTCGAGAATAGCTATAAAGGACCTGCTGGCTCCGGAAAGGAATTGAGTTTAGAATCTCTTTCAATTAACAGGAATTTCCCTCTAAGACCAGCCTTCGGGACACAAGGAAGACCAGTCTTACTGTGGGCCAATTATTTCGAAATCGTCTCAAGCTTCAATCTCACCCTGCACCGCTATAAGGTGGAAGTCCAGGAACAGGACGGTAAAACCCCTGCTGGCAAAAAGCTTAAGCGTATTATCGAGCTTCTGTTGGAAGAGCACTTCGGAAACATGAAAAACCAAATTGCAACTGACTACAAAGCAACACTGGTCTGCAAAACCGCAATCAACCTTCCCCAGGAGATGTTTTCGATAACGTATCGTCTCGAATATGAAGATGAACCTGCTCCCAGAGCCAGGACTTACAAGGTTCGGGTCGTCGCAATTGGTTCTCTCGATGTGGCACCGTTGCTCCAATATCTCTCCTCACCCAGGAGCGGGGAACAACTCCCGGCCAAAGAAGAGATCATCCAGGCATTGAATATCGTCCTGGGCCACAACCCCAAGACAAATCGCGAATTGCTTTCAATTGGCGCAAACAAACACTTTCCACTTGGCCGGGGCGGGGAAAGCTATGATCTTTCTGGTGGACTCACTGCACTCAAGGGCTTCTTCGTCAGCGTCCGTGCCGCGACTTCCCGCCTCCTTGTGAATGTCCAAGTCAAAGCTACCCCGTGCTACAGTGAAGGGAGCCTGCCAGATATTATGAACAGCTTTTCAGCCAGCATACGAGGCCCTACGCACTTTCACAAACTCAACCGATTCCTTAAGCGAGTACGCGTGAGCGTCAATCATATCGTCCGCAAAAATAAATCAGGCAGGGTCATATTGCGAATCAAAACTATTGAAGGTCTTGCACATCAGAGTGATGGGCGTAATTTGCAGAACCCGCCACAGGTACCTTGGCTAGGAGCAGGTCCGAAAGATGTCAAGTTCTTTCCTGATGGACCAACACCCCCGGCAGAGGGCCAAAGCAAGAAGAACGGGAAAAAACAGAAAAAGGGCCCTGTGAAGCCGGGTGGAGATTCTTCTACGGGTTCATATATTAGCGTCTACGACTATTTTAAACGCAGTAAGCAAAAATTACAAAAAGCCCCAACCTCCCCCTTCATTTCTTACTCGTGATAGATTACCCCAATATCCCCGAGTTGAACAACGCATTACCAGTTGTCAATGTTGGCAGCAAGGAGGAGCCGATCTACCTGCCTGCTGAGGTCTGCCACGTTCTGCCTGGCCAGCCGGCAAATGCCAAAATCTCCCCCCAACAGACTCAGAACATGATTCGCTTTGCAGTCCGGAGACCCGTGGAAAATGCCAAGTCGATTGTCGTAAATGGAACCCAGGTGCTCGGGTTTACCCCACATTTGAATCCTATGCTGGTAAGTTGACCCAGTTTCTACAGCGACAAGCTCTAGCGTGACCTGCTTACATTAATTACTTAGGCTGGTATGGGATTATCTCTGTTGCCAAACTTGATTACTGTTCCTGGTCGAGTGCTGGAGGGTCCCGCTATTATTCAGTACAAGGGACAGAGCTTTAAAAGCCCTCACGGCGGGAACTGGAACCTTCAGAAAGTCGCATTCTCACATGGGTCCCAGCTACCTGCCTGGACATTCCTTTACTACCAAGACGGCCGAACCGATCCAGCGGTTGTTATGGAGAGCGTTGATAGATTTATAGATATGGCAAGGGTACAAGGGCTCGCTGTTCCAGTGCCTAGCCGGCCAATCGCTGTCAACGTTCCCCCTCGTCGAGATGTGGAGGATATACCACTGGACCCCATCTTTGCCGAGATTCGCCAGCAGTCGCGAGTGAGATTGGTTCTGGTGATCCTACCTTTTGCAAGCCCTCAAATTTACAGCCAGGTAAAGTATAGGGGAGATATCAAGGACGGCATCCATACTATTTGCGTAGTCGCAGAAAAGTTCAGGAAGAATCAGCCTCAATACTTCGCCAACGTTGCGCTAAAATTCAACCTGAAGCTCGGAGGAGTCAACCACAAACTTCAGCCGTCCAAACTGGGGGTTATATCGGAAGGTAAGACAATGGTTGTGGGCATTGATGTCACGCATCCTGCCCCGGGTTCGCTCTCCACTGCACCAAGCATAGCCGGGATGGTTGCAAGCGTGGATAAAGTCCTCGGTCAATGGCCCGCCACCATCCGTCTTCAACAGCAGGCTCGCGCAGAGATGGTGAGTGATCTTGATATAATGCTCCAATCTCGTCTTCGCCTTTGGCAGAAGAACAACTCCAAGAGCCTCCCGGAGAATATCCTGATCTACCGCGACGGGGTATCAGAAGGCCAATACGGCAAAGTCCTGGACGAAGAACTACCCCTGCTCCGCAGCGCGTGCAAAGCTATCTACCCAGCCGACAAAACCAAGAAAGGCCTCCCCAAATTCACCATCATCATCGTCGGCAAACGGCACAATACGCGGTTCTACCCAACCGATCTCAAGGACGCGGACAACAACTCAAATCCCAACAGCGGAACCGTCGTCGACCGCGGCGTCACCGAATCGCGCCACTGGGATTTCTTCCTCCAAGCCCACACCGCACTGCAGGGGACCGCTCGGCCAGCCCACTACTACGTGATCCTCGATGAGATATTCACCGGGCGGAAGACTGCAGGCCGCTTCGACAGCATTGCCGATGAGCTTGAAGACCTAACCCATAATCTCTGCTACCTGTTCGGACGAGCAACCAAGGCCGTCAGCGTCTGCCCGCCGGCGTACTATGCGGATCTAGTCTGTGAGCGCGCCAGGCGCTACCTAAATCGATATTTCGACGTCACGCCTGACACCAGTGTTGCTTCGTCTGGTGCTAGTGATGTGGGTCCTGTGCCTATTGGTGACGATGTTCGCGTACATTCTGACCTGGTGGATACTATGTTTTATATCTGAGTGATATCTGCGTACATATCGTGTCGAAGGGAAGGGGGGTATCTTGGGATCGGGGAAGTTGTGGAAAATGCTATGGAGGTTGTGAAGTCAGTATGGAATAGTACAGTCATTGCTCTGTCATTAGTGGTATTTTGAAATCTTGATTTTGCTTTTTAGGGTTGGTTATTGGTCTATTTACCGTGATCATATCTGAGTATATGATTGGGCACATATCAAATTGATAAGTTGACACAGAGCTTTACGAGAATGCAATTCTAAACTAATGTCTTGGATATTTCTCAGAGTTTATCTAGCAAATGGGTATTAATTGAGTGATCAGAGTTCAATCCCATGCAAACCTCCAACTACTCAAATATACTCCGTGCCAAAAGCTCATTATCATCACCAAAATATCCACCATACCTTCATATTCATACATAGAGCGCACCTGTCGAAATGCAAATGTACAACCTTTTAATCCCAATAAAAAAATCAAAAGAAAAAAAGCCAGCTAGAGAAAAAGAGAAACCTCCCCTCCGCCAATATCACCGAACAAGCCCTACTACCCCCCTTCCCCCCAACGACCGCACAACCCCCTTCTTCAGCCGAAACTGCCTCTCAATCACCTCCTCCGACACCCCTCCCTTATCCCTCATCGCCAAAATATGCCTAATACTCACGACATCCAAAAACTCGCGCCCGGGATGGCTCGGTCGGCCAACGGACTCGAGTTCGAGTTCGGCAGCCTTCTCTAACCGGGCGCGGGAGGAGAGAACGAGGAGGGCTGGGTTGGAGGATGTGGAGGAGGAGGTGGAGGGGGGGAAGACGATGGAGAGGGATTGCTGAAGCTGCGGGTTTTGGGGTTGGTTGAAAGGGTTGGGGGTGACGGGCCCGATGGAGCGGAGGGAGGCGGCGAACTGAGGATCGCGGGCTTCGAGGTCGATGGCTGTGGTTATTTGAGGCCGGGTTGTTAGTTTTTTTTTTTTTTTTTTTTTTTTTTTTTTTTTTTTTTTAATATTCATTTCGCGCAAATATGTAAAAACACAAAGAAATTATGAGCCTACCTTCTAATCTTACAGCGCTCGCCTTCTCTTCTGCATGGAATACTGGTCCTGGCTGTTCCCGTCGGCTTGATGCCCTGGCCGCTGGGTCCGCGGCTCTGGCACCACCGGGCCCGGTGGTCGGTGCGGAGGGTTTCTTGGGGTATTGACGCCGTGCAGCTGCATTAGCTGCCGCCTTTATGGGTTTCGACGATGATGCGCCCATTGCAATTTTGTGTGTGCACCGTTACTGGGGAGTCGGAGAACGATACTGTACAGTAACTAGCTCGGTGAGCGGAGAATGATGGATGGTTTTGCGGAGACGGTCCAAGCTTCTACGGGGGCCAAAGCTGACAGGAATGTAGGTTTGGTGGAACGCTAATTTGCGTCTAGGGCTAGAAGGTGGGGCGGGGAGAGCAGAATAAATAAGACACACAGGTGTTCTAGGAATCTCATGCATGGGTTCTACTAAATAAATAACGACCTAGAGATACATCTGTTCATGAAAAAAGCGCTAGGAAGATTCCAGCTCCAAAGTGAAGATTCTTTGTCATATGCCATTTTGCCCCGAATAGCATGACGAAAAAGCATTAGCAAAACCAGACCCCCTAGCGCAGCCCTGCGAGGCGCCTCTCCTGGACCTCGCTCAATGCGCGACTTCCGCTGACAAAAGCAATGGCGCCCACTGCCAACGCAATGGGTACGGTTTGGAACAGGTTCCATGCCGTGTAGTAAAGGAAGAATATGCCCTCTAGCCCAACAATCGAACCAAGGAACAAGAAATGCGAAATAGGTGATGATTTCAGTGCAACTGGGAGGTGATGCAAATTCGCACCTAGGTAAAACCACTGTAGAAATGTCAGCTAACCTTTCCCCCTTTCTTTAAAAGCTCACGTTGGATTAGTCCACTTTACGTACCAAACCTGCAAGGATCGGAAGTGCAGCTAAGACTGCTCCGACAAACACTAATGTTATGATGACAGGAGGGCTTTTCGGATCAGCCTTGAAGGTATGGTGGATTTCATCGCGCTTGCCATATCTGAGAGCTTCGGAAGGGAGTGGCCCGCTGGCAGCATTGTCGTGGGTGACATCCAACTGGAAAACACGGCTGTCATATCCAATTGCAGATCCGAACGATGCGATAACAACACTGGCATCGATTGGTTTCGAGGACCGGAGAAATTGACCAGGAAGGTCTTTTTGTGCCTACATAATTAAGCGTGGGGCTGTCAACATTGCGGCCTATTCCATTTGTATAGCGTTACTGTGGGGGAATTGCCCAACTAACCAACTCTATCTTTGCCTTTCCGGTTTCCTTCACACTTAATGGGTATGATAGGTCGAGTCCGCTATCGTGCTCTTTCAGTAGCAAGAAAGCCTGGTGAGGTCTCTTAGTAGCACTGCCTTCCCGTGTCGTTAAGCTAAGCTTGAGGATATCTGACTCTCCGAACGAGAACGGCTTCGATAGTGGTTTGCTCTCTAGCAGCCTAAATACCCCCAATATAGATGAATATAGTTAGCAACAGTGCTTTAACTACTGGGCGCACCAGCAGTGAGGGTAATATGTATATAGCGCACTTCTCTTTAAGTCCACTGCCAACTCCAGCGCCCTTCTGTGCGATTGAGACCGATGCATCATCAAATCCCCAGCCAGAAGCAGCCCAGGCAGAGGGGAGGGGAGATATAAGGAGACCAGCTCGGAGAAGCTCCCGCAACTGCATCCTCGAGAGGTGAGAGGATTTCAGAGAAAGAGGGAGTCTTTCTCTAACAAGATTTTCTGGATGGCAGTTCAAAGTATGAAACCACCGCAATTGAGAGCGATCAATGCCACCCTAGCGGTCAGTATTGGTTACTGGATTTGTAGTTTAGCTGTTGTTTGTAATAGCGCAGTCTGTTCTTTGGCCGTTGGACTGGAAAGCTGGCCACTGTCGATGCATCTGGCCTAGCGCCGAGCTAACCCTAGCACAAGTCACGTAGGGCCGCAAGCCCTAATTGTTTTCTCCCAGAGATGCGCGGAAGACATCACAGTATTTGGCTGCGGCCTGCACTCTGCACTTCACTACCACATCTCCGCCATACAACTGCTGTGCTCTACAAAAGCCTTCTCTTGTCCTTGACATGCACTTTACCGTAAATGCCTTGGAAAGTTGTGAGCTCTGCACTCCTCGTCCCTTCGTCAATTCTTTAGGGTTGTGGCTGCAACTGGACTTTCCCGCAGTCTCCCATCTCCACCAAACGAAGCGGTGTGAGCTTTATTTAACAGGCAAAACAGGCAAACAGAATAGCAAGTAACTCGCGATTTTCCTAGTCTATGTTTCATTGTTCTTTGACCTCCGCTGGCTGATCGGAAGAGCTATCTAAGAGGTGAGTAGTGACTGAACCTCAACAAGTCAATAGCCCACCTTTCCAGTGAAGATTTTGAAACAACTCTAGATATGGCACATGAATGCCCCAATCCAGATCCATTTTGTTTTGTGTTATATATATTTATCTGCTTTGGGATTTCTCTGACATCTTACTCTGTTCTTTCAGGCCTCATATATCGCAGTTCGTAATGATTATGGGAGGGACTATTCTGGTATTTGACCAACTCTTAACTGTCTTTGGCCATCATGCTCATTTTCTGAGCTCCCTGTTGATCTAACATCCTGGTATTGATGGTAGGCATATAACCATGCCCAGCCGCTGGTTGTGGAGCGGCCTGTAGTAACGTTGGTGGAGGACGAGACCGATTCTTCGAGCTTCTCACGGAATTCTCCTTCGTCGCACACATCGTATTCCTCAACTCAATCCGATCGTCCTCGCTCAGCAAAGCGTCCAAGGACTAATAACTACAATTCTCAACACTCTAGCAGTGTTCGGGAAAGTGGGGATGCTAATGTATTTGCTGCTTCCCGGAAGGAAACGCAGAGCCGTCCATCAACTGGGCCTTCTTTTTCCTCCTCACTTAGCCGTGTTGCAGGCCGCCATAGTGGCGCCCTGGCTAAGGAGCGTGATATACAATCCGCAATTGCATCGAAATCGGATTTATTCAGTCTTGTAAATTATCCTTGGGACAATAATCCAATTGCTGTCGCAATTTGGCTTGCTCAAAAAATCGACAGCACCAAGAAATGTCAATCTACGTACCCGTGGGTCCCAGACTCAGAGCAGAATTCACCAACAAGTAACGTATCTCAAAGACCGAGGCGCCGTCGAAGCCGGGTACGGAATGATGATATTTTGTATCTTGTTAGTGGCGTTCATTGTTCCGATACATGCAAGTTTCATGGTAAGTAAAATATCTCTCCGCTCGTGGCGTGAGGGCGTTTGTCTAATTTTTATTTTCAATCCTTATAGAGTATACTAGCAAGCACGAAGACGAGAGCCAAACAACAATGGGTATAGAACGTCTTCCTGAAGAACGAAGCCCTTCGGTGGATTCGTTTTCTACCAAATCCTTTCATTGCCAGATGGATTTGGAGGCAAGAAGAATTGCACCAAGGCTAGCCAAATTGCAGAGCTTCAAACCAGGATTTGGAGACAGATTATTTGGCACAATGGCTGATAATCATTGTATAGATGCTGACACTGCTGCTACAGGGAAACTTGTGGTAGATGTCCTTGCGACGCTTACTTACCCAGAGTTACAATCGGAATACCAAGCATCTACAGATGCCCTGATTAAGGTCCTTGATATGGAATCCTCTCGTTCCCCGAGATTCACAGAGGCGTTTGCGATACTATCAAACGATCCTGATGTGACAAAGGCTGTGCGTGTCATTGTTGCACAAATCAACTCTTGTGAATTTTCCTTGGGGTTGGATAGTGAATATGCGGCATTTAGCGGATTGTCAAGCTACCACAGCCCCAAGGCATCCCATTCACCACAATGTGTCAATGACAAACAACAATCAATGGATGCTAGGGCTTTGGAGAATCATCTTGACGGTCCCCAGCGCCGCCCGTCTACTTCCTCATCCCTCTCATCCTGTCCTTACTCTTCGGGCCACTTCCTCCCAGAAAGCACTCCCACGAACACAACGTCTGTATCTTTCGAAAGTCGGAACAAAACTGTTCCCGAAATCAAAATATCTTCCAAAATGCCTCCCCGTCAATCGACCCGCATCAGAAAGCCCACGCTTAGGGCCATAGAGGCGCAACTGAGCTCGCAGGCGAGATCAGGCACCAGGGCCCGGGCTCCAAAAACCTCGAAAAAGATTGAACTTCACTCTACTCAGGCTAAAGAGAATTCTGTCGCAAGCGCCATCAAGGAGTCTAATGGTGCAAAAGGTGACATAGACGCTACGAACACTACGAACAAGGCAGCCTCTGACGCCGTTGAAGCTGGAAATATGGCTCCTGCGTCGTCAAACAGATCGATGACCGTGCGCTCCATTGATGAGATCGCAGCGGCAGTCAGTCTCCAAAGTGTGACTGACACAGGTGCATCTGGGCTCCGTGTGCCCGACCAGCAACCAAGGCGCTTATGCACGTCCACAACAACGATGTCTCCTTTAGATGCTTCAGCACCTTCTCCTTCATCGCGAGCCTTGTCCCCAGAAACAGACGCTATCATGGAGCAATTCCTTGATCTAGCAACTGCTGCTTCAAAACCCGATTTCAAACCAACATTGGAAATCGATCTCCACCGGGTTCGTCGGGATTGGTACGCTGAACAGTTGGCAACCGCTTTGAACAATGCTGCTGCTGAGAAATCCCTGAAAACCCAGTCCACGCGAACAAGTGAAGAGACGGTCCCAGGCGAAAGTCCCTTTTCTTCGCAGCCTACCCCTTCCGTTGCCAATGTTCTTTCGTTGGAGACTGACGTTGCTACGCCCGCCACCCCTGCTGAAGATTTTGCAGTTGACGCATCTAGTCAAGCTAATTCCGCTAATGGTGTGGTTAAGGTCACCGGTGCCTCTGCAGACGTGGCTGCTGCCATCGCCATCTCATCCGCACAGCAAAACAACATTGGTGAACAAACGAACTTTGGACAGCCAGCTATGGTGGAAGGATACGTTTCTGATGAAGTTGTTGAGCATGATACCCCCAAATGGCCTACTTCTATCACGGACCAGAAGTTTCTTGACCCATGTGTCTTGTCCCATTCCTACCTCCCCCGCCCTTGGACTGACGGTGATGGCTGGGTCCATACCGGGCGCGGCAACCAACATAACGAAGAAAATGTTATTGTTCCAACCACCTACGCATGGGTCCGACGAAGGGATTCATTCAATAACCCACGTATTGCCCCATCCCCTCCCCAGATAAAGTCCCTTATCCAGATCGAACTGGACGATGTATTTGGCTATCCTCCCCAAGGCCGCAAGCCAAACCTTCCCGAGGATCTAGAGGGCTCATTCGTCGCAGAGGATGTTGCGCTGGAAACGGCAAAAGTCAAGATTTTCCGCGCAGCTCGTATGCGAGGTATCGTTATTGACCGTTCCACATCGCTGGAAGATATTCAGCATGCTATTGAGAAATATGATGAAATTTACACTGCTCAGGGGGCAGCTGCAAGTGCAAGTGATGTAAACGAAATTAGCAAGATGAAAACGCCCGCGAAACCATCCGGTACATCTACTGGAACAAGCAAGAGAGTGAGAGCATCGCGGAAGCGGGCTGCTGCTAGTCAATCCTTGGAAAGCGCTGATCCGAAAAGGGAGGATGATGACGAACCTAAGGACAACGTGAGTAAAACGACCCGAAACAAAAAGCGTCGCCTAAACATAGATGCGCCAATTCCCGAGACGAGCAGCGTAGGCAACGGAAGTGGAAGTGGAAGTGGAAGTCCTGCAGATGCAGATGCAGAATCCATGGAGGTGGATTCCAACCCTGCCTTGCTCGCAACCCGTGGCCCCGGTCGCCCATCGAGGCGGGCGGCTGCTATTGCAGCGACCGCTGCAACTCGTGAGACCACACAGCCTCGTCAGCGGCGCAAACGAGCTGCACGCCAGACTTGTCCCGAATCCATTACTCCAGCCGCGAGAAAAATGGTGAATGATGCTGTTGCTGGTGGAATGGAAGATTCCGCTGAGAAGAAAGATGCTGCTCCCACCACTTCCCAGGTCGGACAGGAATAGACTCCGCTCTGAAACAAAGGGGCAAATGCCGATATGCTTTTCATATTGCTCTCGTTCCTCATTACTTCATTGTTTACATGTCAATCTACCCTACGTCTTTATATCTCGTCACGCCGGGAAAGGTCATTTTTATCGTACCTCCCCGGAAAATAACCATCGAGAGTAAAGGGAAATGATAGGGAGAAACCCCATATTATGACTGTACAATACAACAGAACTGGGAAAAGTCGATGAATTGCTTTTGCATGATTTTGGAGTTAGTTGGAGTTTTGTTTGAAGTCTCCCTTTCTTTTATTCCATGTCCGGACTGTTTATGGAAACGAATTTCCTTACGAGACAGACAGAGGTGGTGCAAGAGGGACTAAGGTTCACTCAATCTTGGAGTTTTTCTTTTGTTTTTCCTTTTCCTTTTCTTTTCTTTTCTTTCTTTCTCTCTTTCTTTCTTTTTTTTTTCCAATTCATCAAGCTTGATGCCTCAGGGAATATAGAGCCTGGGAAGCGTACATTATCGTGGAATGAGGTACAAACATGAAGGCACTGCTGGCGGTGATTCAAGTTGTTTTGGAGTTTTATTGTTTTGCTTCTCGTATCCTTCTACCCTGTGCATATGCTTTACAAGCTTGAATTTTGACGTGGGCTGTTTTTGACCTTGCGCTGTATGGCGGTGAATTTACAAGTCCGCGCGGCCCTTTATTTTATTCATCCTACCCTTAGTTACTTCTCTCATTCATGTACCATACTCTATTACCTCCACTATAGTCAGGTATGGATAAGGATGTAAATAATAACCCCACATTATACTATTCATTTTGTTGAGCTGGGAAGAGAGGCGTGCGTATGGAAGCGGCCATGATTCCATCGTTTAAGACACTATAATGGTGAATAAACCTGTTCTTGTTAAGTCCACCTAACTATTATGTGAATTCCCATTTCACTCATGAAAATCAAGTCACATCATTTATCAATAGAAGGCTGGATGCAGCACAAGCTGTTCATGTAGCTTCAGCTGGAAATATCCTGCTATCAGCTTAGGGCTAGGGTTTCCGTTTTGGTCGTAGCCCTAACATATCAATTACCTACTCCGTACACTGGAGCCTTTTGCTCTATCCACCACGGTTGTTTCGAGTTTCTGACAATAGGGCCTTTTCTTCATTTGCTATCTTTATGCCCAGTGTATGTCGTAGCTCTCGGTAGCTGGGGCAATCGCCCGAACCGACACCAAAAATTGCGGGCGCGGTAGCCTGTTAATTAGTCTCCCTGGGCCGCCGCCATATCGCGTCTGCCGAACGCGCGTGCGGATTAAATTGCCTTGAAGTTTCTTGGTCTGGGGATTTAGCGCAGGAACATATTGACAGTAGGCAGAATTGGCTGGACGCTGTGACTATGTAATTACAGGGGGGAGGGTTATTCTCGCGTTTCATGAAAAAGTGCTTGCATTCCTATTTTTTTTGGCTCTATATTTTTATTCCTATGTTTAATCTCGTTTATAGAATAGATAAATGCGAAAATAACAGATAGGAATCGAGTGCAGTATTTAGATATATCCAGACTCATGTCCAGCACTCCAGACACTGTCGCCAAAAAGCGTGGCCGGCCGAAGAAAGCCGTCGCCGCCGCAACCAAAACATCCACCGCAACCTCTGAGTGGACAACTACAACCACAAGCACAGGCACAAGCACAACCAAGAAGTCAACCCCATCCACCACGCGAACTACCCGCAAATCCTCGCCCAAAGCCAATTCACCGCCAGCATCCGACCCCAAACCCGCATCCAGTGCACCAATCGATCGGAAACCAGCAGCGAAGAAGAAAAGCGCTCCCACTCGACAAAAGAAATCATCCGTCACGGCTCCTGACCCCGCGCAAGGACTACCGAAGCCTCCCTCCGCGCCATCGCAAATACCAGGTAATAATAGCAGGGCAAAGAGCGACCAGGTGGGCGTGAAATCCAGGCTTAGAACCTCCGCATCCAATCCAGCTGCCGAACAGCCACCTGCGCCGCGAACGCCGTCCGCAGAATCCAAGTCGATTTCCCACTCCGAAACTACGGAGTTAGCTGGGAAGCAGGAGGCTACTGGAAGGAGGCAGCCAGAGGCTAGAAACTCCGTTCAGGCCGCGGGAGAGATATCTGAACCTCCTGCTCAATCGGCTAGAGGCAGGGAGAGAACAATTGAGCCAAAAAGAGTGGCGGAGCAGACACCACCTCCTCCCGCACACCCCGTTGACGCCACTGTTGCTACGGTGCAAGGTTCCAAAATCCTTACAGCTTTGGCGGCCAGCAGCAGTAAACCAACAAGAAAGGCAACTTTCATAGAAGATAAGATTAAGAAGGCCTCAGCGCCAAGGCCCATCGAATCTTCAGGCCAAGCTATAACTACAGACATGGCTACCCTGGCATCCAAGAAGGCCTCACCTTCCGGCCCTCGACAGCCGCCCCCTCATCCACCCGCCATCAGACCACAGTTAGCACAGGCTGCCTCCGCCCGCAGAGAGACACAGCGGGTAAAACCGCAGAGACCGGAACCAGCTCCAGGTGTTAAGCCGCAGGATATCAGAAATACGAAGCAGTATAAAAGCCTTGCACGAAGGTAGGGGCTTACAGGATTCCCTTTAGGAACAAATCATCCCCATTCCGCTTTATAACCAACAATTCTCATTTATTTACTTTCTTGCAGATGGACATCGGCAGTGGTCGCACTCCCAATTTTGCTTTACACCAGTTACGCACTATATGAGCGAGGTAAGCGTTTACTGTGAATCTTTTTGCCGGTCTTCCCTTTACTCTTCAAGAGATCTACACCTATATATATTATTGAGGGCAGCGTACAATTTCTAACGATCCACTTTTGGCGTAAACAAAACAGTATTCGCCGATAAAGCTCCCCGCAGTCTGCCGGGAACAAACAATTTCCCTCTTGTTGACAACAGCGCACAATCGACATCACAACCATCTACATCGACAAACAAAGACAATTACAATGGGTGAAATTTTTTCGGTATCTAAATAAACTACTCCAAGAGGATGGTAATCTAATCTGACATAACCCCCTGCGACACCTTTCCCTTATCACTTCTTTTTAAAACTCTTATTTTGCCCGGCGTTACACTCCTCCGACAGCGCTCCCTCTCCGCTCCACTCTTGTCAAAGCGACGAATTCCGTGTATTTAATGACACTCGTCGTCTCTAATGAGCTAGAAGCTTTGTTTTGTATATAACCGATTTATTGTCAGGTCACATGATCTGGCTTACTAATCCTTCCACCATATAACTGTAGGCTACTGGGGCAAAAGAGCTCAATCACCACCAGCGCACTGCTGGTAGAAGGGCCGACCAACCGCGGGACCCCCAACACCCCCCCTCAGACCAGCTATCACAGAGTACAGTACTTCCCCTCAGTGGCTCCCTTCAGTGGCCTTCCCACAATGGCTTCTTTTTAATAATGGACTGGACCACTCAGTTCTAGGGCTCAAAGGGACTTCTAGGGCACACTTCTGAGATGTCTCTTGACACTGTTAAAATGTTCAGAGTATTTGTTAGAAATTTTTAAGTTCATTCTGAGATTGAACTCATGCATGTTGATCACAGCAGGGCTCACACTTAACAGTCTCATAATCTGTAGACTACTGAGGCAAAAGAGCTCAATCACCATCAGTGCACTGCTGGTAGAAGAGCCGATCAACCGCGGGACTCTTAATAATAACTTCTCACAAGCTAGCAATCTTTTCAATCAAGCAAGCTTTACACCTTTCACAGATTATGAGACCTGTTTTGTACAAACTCACTGCCAATTCAGGATTTCTTGTTAATATAATTATTATTTTAACTACTGCTTCATTCAATATACTTATCAGGTGTTAAAATTATCTTATTCTATTAGTATTAATATGTTTGTGTAACGTGACGGAATTAAAGCAGAGACTAGTTAGTGATGTTATGTAAAGATAGTTATTTAAGAAGCTGTATAAGTAAGCTTAACTATCTTGCTTAAATAGTGAGCTTGTAGACTACAGAGTTATTATGAGAATATCACAGATATGATACTTAGTATACTAAGAAAATTATATGTGAAATACAGTAACTTTTATATATTTTTTAGTAGAAGAAAAATAAATCACTGACTTCTTTAATAAGAAGTCAGTATCTGACTATTCTATATAGATAATAAGTGAATACTCTTCTTTTATTTTATAAGTAAGAACAGTCAGAGTGATATCTCAGTAATATCTTACTATTAAAAGAGAGTAATATGCTAATCTTATATAGAAGTGAGATTTTTATATTCATTAATCAGATCTTTCTATAATATATTTAAATAATATTATAAAGTGATTGAAAACTAGTTTAAATAAAATCAAATTATTTATATAAAAGTAATAAGTTATGTAAAACTGTAACAGGGTCTTATTATTATTATTATTATTATTATTATTATTATTCTTCTTTCATTATACTTATATACAAGCGGAGCTTATAATGAGTTCTTGTATGATGTTAAATACAGGTTAAGTGTTGATTATACAGAGGGAAATACAGGTGTTGAGATCATATTAAGATAATAAGAACATAGAAAAATACAAAGAAGTGATAATTAAATACATACAATAATAACTTCTCAGATCAGAAATATAAAGTGATTTATTAAAGTGATTTATACATCTCTGTATTTATTAGAAACCTGAGGTGCTTGAGTTCTGAATTTAATGTATTCTCTGCGGGTTTTGAACCCACACACCTTGGTTTCTCATGTCAAGGTGCTACTGAGTGGCCGCATTAATCATTCAGCCACCGGGGCGCAACAGAGTCTTAACACAGCTGAGAGTGTGACAATACTTTTCTCTTTAAGAGTATAGTTCTGATACTCTTAAGATTACTGAATTAGAAGTTATCTTTATTATATAACAACAGTTGTTAATCAATTGACAGTATATGTGCTACATATAATACAAAGAAATAAATGTGTTTTTCTGCTAACTGTGTAAATCTTCTTTTCTTATCTCTGTTTAAATTAACTGTGTGATAAGTGAGTTCCTTCTATATCAATTTAAAATGTGAAAAATATAGTTAATAAGTGACTTACAGATCTCTTATTATATTTCATTCTATGTATAAAATTCTCTGTAAAAGTAATGTATTTTAAAGACAAAGTTAACAGTAGTGATAGAATTTTTTAAAAAGATTTCTCTTCTCTATAACATATTTTTCTTTTCTCTCTTCTCAATTGTAACAGTAAGTGTATGAGAGTATTATTCTTGAAAGATAATAAAGAACTTATTCTAATATTTTCTAGTGATTAAATGTTATTATTATTATTATTATTATTATTATTCTTCAAATATAGATGTATGCAGTCAGAGACTATGACATCTACCTGAGAATCTTTAGTTCTCAGAGTTTTTCCTATATCTATAGAGTCAACTATTATACATTTATCAATTTCAAATACGCAAAATCACAAAATTCCAGCTCAGAATACAAAAACTGTTTACAAATTACAGTATTTCAACACCTTCTGATAGTTTGAAATCATTTGAAAATATTATGACAAAAGAAAAGAGAACATAGTCTTAAAGATAGACACATTAAATAGATAGAGAAAAGAACAGAAGGAAACAAGTACAGTAAAGAGAGACTATAACAAAACAAAATTATTAAAAGATGATGTATAGCTGTTTTAACAGACTATATCTAGTCAATTTCCACCTCTTCATATTCAGATACTTCTGAATTCAGCCATTTTCTTGTAGCTGCTCTAGTTTCTGATAGAAAGTCTATTAAGTATTTAGTTCCTGTCTCAGTTGAGAATAAGAATCTCATATTTAATTGATTTAAATCATACTTTTTCTTTAATCTGACTCTGAGACTATTGTATAATGCACAATACATTACAATATGCTCAGGATTTTCATTCACATTGCAGAATGAGCACTCTGTTGAATCAAATCTATCATCAAATCTTTGTATATAAGATTTGAAATAATCATGTCCTAGTTTCAGCTGAATTATAGATGAGAATATTTTCTTTTTACATTTAATTGAACAAGATTTCCACTTTGGTTTTGTCTCAAATCTTGAATAATGTATACTCTTCTTTTGTTTCTACCAGCTTTTATTTCACTTGTTTAAACAAGATTCTTTTATCTTTCTCTTTATGAAAGACCAGGACACTGTTTTTTGAATAGATCTGCTTAATTCTGAACTCTTTTTTACAGCTGAATCAGCCAATTCATTGTCATGAATATTCATATAAGCAGGAACTCAATGCAGATGAATTATCAGTTTTGATATTCTTCTCTTTTGAATTTTCAAAACAGAGTTTAAAATCAGTTCAAGATTCATTTGATCACTATGAATCTGACTATTTCTAAGTCTTTTTAAAGCAGCTTGACTATCAGAGAATATTCATGTCTCTTTCAAATCATTTCCTCTTTTATAAGATTTTATTTCAATGAGTTTGAAAGCTTTCACTATTGCAAATAGTTCAGCATCAAAGACTTCAGATTCACAGTCTAAATTTCAGAAATCTGAGATAAAATTAATATTATCTTCAGTATAAGCAATGCCTGTGTCTAATCTATTCAAATTCTCATTTTTTGAGTCATCTAAGTAGATCAGAATGGAGTATTTTATATTAATTGTAGAGATCTTCTTCAAATGCTGTTCATATTCTCTCTCTTTAGATAGTTCACTTATTTATAAGTCTATGAGAGATTCCAGCTTTTCTCTTCAAAGAGATATCTTCTCATGATCAATTTTCTCAACATTTAATGAAGAAAATTGATTCTTAATAAGTGAACATAGTCTATACAGTTGAGAGAGCATTTTCTTTAAAGTATTATTCTCATTTCAATCAAGAAATCTATTTCAATCCAGTTCATTTCCTGAGTTAACTAGTGAAAATGAAGAAGAGACTCTTTCTCTGATTATATGATTTGAGTTCATCTTCATGACTCTCAGAGCATAGTTCATACAGGCCTTTTCAAATCAAATAGCAGAAGGTGGAATTGAAGCTTCAATTTTCATTGCTTTAATAGAAGATGACTTGAATGCTCTCAGAATTCTTCTCAAAACTCTGTTTTGTAGACTTTGAAAGAGTTCAGTGAAGTTTCCTTGATTGTTTTATTAAACTTGAACTTCATAATCAGCTACTGAGGTAATACAGGCTATGTATAACTGTCTTATAGCCTGAAAGAATAGATCTCTCTCAGTATTTGATAGTCTGATTATACTATTCAGTAGTCTCTCTGTCTTGATGATTCTTTGTTGAATATGATATTTAAAATTCAGCTTGGAGTTTAATCATACTTCTAGTCATTTGACATTTAAACCGGGTTTAATCTCTTTATTCAAAAGAGTTAGACTTAGTTCTTTCTTATTAAATCTGGGAAAAAAGTGAATTAGCTCAGTTTTATTTATATCAAATTGAATTAGATTGATATCTGCTCTAACAAAGATTTCCTTTACTGCTTTCTCAATCACTTCTAAATTCTCTTTGATTGTCTTTGAACTGTAGAGTAGATCAATATCATCTATATAACTTGAAGATCTCACTATTTTCATCTCTCTATTCTTGAATAGATATGCAGTGTATATTGTAAATAAAACAGGTGAGATTGAAGATCCTTATGATACTTCTATTTTTATCTCAGTTTTATCTTGTTTTCTTCCATCAAAGAATAGTTGTATAATTCTTTTAGATATGAAACAATTGACTCATTTTATTAGAGAAAGTGGCAGTTTTAACATCTTCAAAGTTTGAATCATTGTAGACTTTGACACATGATCAAATGCATCTTTTATATCAATAAAAACTGCAGTTGAGACCAGGCCTTCATGCTTTGCTACTTGAACATCATGAATAACTGAGAGAACAGTATCAATTGCAGAACATTGTTTTCTACCTCTCATTTATTCATTAAATAGAAGAGAATCACTAATAGAGCTTATAAAAGATAATCTAGTAGCTATTATCTTTTCTAGAATTTTTC